GGCTGTTGACCCATCGTTGACAAGGGCTTGGCCGCACAATGCATCGTGTGAGAGGGACATCCGCTCCCTGAAGGAGAAAGCTGTGGCCAGTGTCTCTGGCATACACGGCAAAGGTTCGGTCGTTTTGTGAAAATGCTCCCATCTACCCCCATGAGGTAGGTGGGCCTGCGGAGGAAGCCAAGAAGGGCAAGAGTAAATGGGAGGTTGCCACGGGGAAACCCTTCAATGGAACCCTCTACCCCTTGGGGGCACTTGTCTTTTATCATGCTAAGAGCAGTGATGGCATGGCTAGCGCCAACCACACGCCCTGCCATTTTTGCGGGATGGAAGATGGAGCCAGGCCTTAGACATAGGGACGTAGTGCAAGTTCTAGACTACGAATCTCTTAGGCAACTGTCTCATAAGTATTGGGTTCCAAAGGATGTGCATCAGAAAGAGGTTTACTTTCCACCTGTTGAATACATTGAATACCCATTACAACGTGCTGCACAAAAATCCCTTCTTGATGTTACTGATCAAATGCATGAGCTTAGGAAAGCGGAGTTTGACAGATCACTCGAAAGGGGGGTGCTTCCGTATGAAGTTGCCATTGATGCGGTACCGTACTCAGGAAAGGATGGGGGAAAAGCCAGACACTCGTACATCACTTTCGGTAGGCTTATAGAGCATGGATTTACCAAAGGTTGCTCAGGTTGTGAAAATGGCACCACTCGCCACTCACAAGAGTGCAGGGATCGCTTTGATAAGCTATATCCCAAGAGCTCGCCGGCGGAGACCAAACCGGAGGCGTCATCAGACGCACCTGTGCCAGAAACTCCTGTGCCTGTGCCACCAACGCCAGGATTCGTTCCTGCGCCATCCACGCCAAAGCCTCGGATCAAGGAAGGGGATCCTGGCTACGATCCCAGATCTGAAGGGCCAGGGGATCCAGGATACATTCCGCCTTCAGCGGAGGCATCTTCCAGCAAGACTGCTGCGATTGCGACGCAGGATCCATCTTGTGACAAGGACTCACTTGAGTTGGACTTGTATGCACTCGTAACAAAATTGCTAGATAGAAAGGAATGGATAAAAGATCCTAAAGCCGTGGCAAAAGTCAGGGAGGAATTTGACGGCTTAACCGGCAAAGACACGTGGAATCTCGACTCGGTCGATGAGCATGCCAACATCGTGCACAATGCCAAGCTAGCCGGCAAAACTGTGCATATCGCAGACATAATGTCCATATGCAGTCGTAAATACGATGAGCTGCCAAAAGAGTATCATCAGCTAAAAGGGAGGATAGTGTACAGAGGAGACAATGCTAAAGACCAGAATGGCGCTCTCGCCATATATCAGAGTCTATCAGCATCCCCGGCTACTATCACAGCCGCTAACGCTGTGATAGCCTTTGGGCAGCTCCCCGGCAGCACTACGACCAGTGCCGACGTTGTGAAAGCATATGTACAAGCTCCTTTAGGAAGTTTGCATGAAACATGGGTGCGTTTGCCCTGGGAATTATGGCCGGAATCTTGGAAAGGAAAGTATAAGAAGCCATTGATAAGGCTACGCAGCGCACACTGGGCTCGATATCTCGAACGGGCCGTCGTGAGGCTAGGGGGCCAGCCTGTGGATGGGCATCCTTCAACATTTTTCTTCAAGGAACGAAACCTCTTGTTGACTGTTTATGTTGATGATTTGCTGCTCTCAGGAAGCATCGCTTCACACACCCCCTTTTGGGAAGAATTGGGGAAGGTTATCGAGATCGAGGATATCGGTGATTTGGGAAGGTTCCTTGGTAGACACCACGAACTTGTCAGAGTAAATGGTAGAGAGGGCATTGCCTTTAACGTAAGGGAATACATGAAATCTGCTGTTGAAATGTACTTGAAACTCAGTGGTGCAGAGACCATTAAGGGAGCTCCAACTCCATTCCTTCCAAAGGGATCAATCCTTCCAGAGGAATGGGAGGAGAAAGGCCAGCTCGAGGAACACGCATGTGCAGTTCTCATGAAACTCCTGTGGGGGGCCCGGCTAGGCCGCCCAGATGTGCTACGGGCAATCACTCATCTTGCCACACTTGTCAGTAAGTGGAGTCAAGCATGTGATCGCATGTTGCATAGGCTCATGGCGTACGTGTCACAATCCACAGACTACACTCTAGTGGGGTACATAAATGACTCGCCGGAGGACTTGTGGCTGGAGATATACACAGATTCGGACTTCTCAGGCAGCCCTGATTGCGCTCATTCAACCAGTGGCGCATGGCTGCAGTTGCGTGGACCAAACTCTGTGTGGCCCCTTAGCTGGGCATCCAAGAAACAAACAGCAGTCTCTCGGTCAACAACAGAGGCAGAGGTCATTGCCATGGCCTTTGGTGTGTTCTCAGAGGCACTTCCTATGGAAGTGTTGTGGGGCATGGTCCTTCAGAGAGAAATTCACACTATCATCTACGAGGACAACGAGGCGACCGAGAAGATTGTACGCTCAGGGTTCAGCCAAAAGTTGAGACACATAACCC